AATGTAACAGGGTTTAGTCATTATCTCTTTATAACCTGTAGAGGGCACCCAAGTCCTTGAAAAAGGTAAAAAAAAAAAAAAAATTGCTGTTTAATTTTTCGTTGTTAGTGTTTACTAAACAATCACCCCTCCCCCTGAATTATCATTTCAGAGGGTGTTCAGGCTGGGGAATGGCTGCGCTAGAGCACCTGTGTATGAGTGAAGTCCTGGGTTCAATCCCCAGTTCTGTGAGGGGAGGAGACATTAGAGAATCCTAGTTTCATTTCAAATATTCAATGCATTCTAAACAGATTTTCATTTTCTACTGCAAAAACCATCAGCAGGTGGTTTCCACTGCTGGACATTCAGCAATCTGTAAATTCACCAAGTAGCCAGGTCCTTAGAGAAACCAATTCGGACTTCAGAGTAACAGGTTTTTGAGGCAGGAAACAGGCTATAGTGATGTCACTGAACTTCTCTAGGGTGTGTATGGAAAAGTGTTCCCTTTGGAGATGAAAATTACAAGCCAACTGGAAAGCCTTTGGCTTTTAAAGGGTTTTAACTATTTCATAGGACTAATCTCACTGAGACCCTGGGAGGCTTTCATTTTAATGAGTCTCATTATTACTACTATTTGGAGGGAAGATGACTGACTGTAAACATTCTTCCTCTGGCTTGATACTGAAATGTTTCTCAGGAAATGACACACTAGCATCATACACATTACACACACACACACACACACAAACATTATAGAAAGTGTAATAACATTTTAAGATGTACTATGGCATTTTCTTATTGCATGACTATTAATGTTTCTTAGCAAAACATCCGTGTGTTCATGCCCTTCTACTCTTCTGTGTATATATTTCTTGATCCTCAATTATGCTATGGCTAATTTACTATTTTTAAAAATCTATTTATTTAAGGGTCTTCTATGCAGTTGAGACTCATAGTGATCCTGTCTCAGCTTCCCCAGCACTGGGATTGCAGGTGTGCACCACCACGCCAGGTTCCAGAGGCCAGTACAGCACAAGGCTGCCATGGCATGTGGTGCCAGGGATCCATCCAGAGTCCTTGCACTTGCCAAGAAGGCGTGTAGACTGCCAAGCTACCTCCGCGGCCCAGTACTCAGAAGTGGATTAAATTGAAACTAGAGGTTATTAAATTGAAACTTTGGCACAAACTTAGATACGTGCTTCTTGGAGTCATTGTTTCAGTTTATAAATCTCATCACAAAAGCGTATGAGCCAAAAAAGTGCAAGAAATGATCTTGCAAATGGCCACTAGGATGAGCAACTGTGGAACACTGTACCAGAATGTGTTGTCCATAAAGTTTATGACTAATAAATATTTATTTTTGAGATAGTATCCATTGTTTTGCCCAGATTCGTTTGGAACTGCTCAGCACAAGTGATCCTGCCTCAGTTTACCTACTGCTTGGGATTAGAAGTGTTACTAGGTCTTGGTTAAATTTAATTTTTAAAAATAAATTTTTTATACATAATTATAGGTATCTGTCTATATATTTTAAAGGTCTGGAATTATATCTGGAGAATAAACTCCCAAACTTGGAAATCTTACAAAATAAATTGGTATTGATAATAGAATTTTAAAGTTCTATTTTTTTTTGTCACAGTTCCACAGAATACTTCAGTTAAATTTATAGATGAGGTATCCAGATAAAGACAAAAAGGGGGAAAGAACATTTAAAATAATTTTTGAGGTATTCTGGTAATATTTTATGGAAAAATCTTCACTATGAAAATGAATGGAATTATATTAATGGAACTATAATGAACTGCATCAAAAAGTTAGTACGCGTTGAAACAGAAGTCTTACGATGAATAACTGCATTGCGACATGTTCTCCCTGACTGCGTTTCTTTCCCCTACGGCACACTTACTAAAGACGGTGGAGGGGCAGTAAGAATAAACCACGTAGTCTGATGAAACAGAAGCATTTTCTCAACTTAAACTGTAGCCACGCCTCTGATTTTTGGGTTACTAGAGGGCCAATAAACATGCATTCTAGCACATGACCCAAAACGGGAGGCTATACTTGGAATGTAGTCTTTGTTTCTTCCTTTTTCAAAGCCTGTGTTTCTGTGTATCATTGTTAGGCAAAGCAAAAAGAAATGTTTGCTCTATTACGTAAGCAATAAACTTCATTTGGTATTCAATTGACTTTCTAACTTAGCAGACAAGACTTTACATTTTCAAATACTGAAAATAAATTGCATTCTGGGCCCTTGCTTCAGAAGGTTAGAGAGAATAAATGCACACCCTGGTAGTGTTCTAGTGATCTCCCTAATCTCAGTTGCACTTTGTCAGAATGAGGTAACTGGTAGTTAAGTGAAATACCCTAGATCAAAGGGGGATTAATCACCAACTGAATCCTTGCTGAATAAGCCTGTCATTCAAGAAAATTATTTCCACTGAACTTAGCAGAGGATTGAAGGTCTTTGCATAACAGGGACCAGCGCACTTCAGCCAGGTTAGAAGGTTCAGAACTCATCCCATGTTTAGCTTTTTGCCTCCTTTTCCTTTCAGCAGCCTGGCACAATGGTTTCTAATCTGATAATACCGCTAACTATCTAAATGATGTCAGAACAGGAAAGTTGCAAAGTTTGGATGAGGGATGGATCAATTTCACTTTCAGTAACTCCTAAATCTGATTTGTTGGAATTTAAGATGTAATCCTAAACAAGTCCCTTAAACCTGGGGACTGTTTATTAACATCCCTTTTTTGACCTTTGTTTTATGAACAACTACTCTGCCACGGCAGCAGTCCCTGGAGAGGCTTTGGTAATAATTCCACCTATGGACTTCCTATGGGTAGTAGTGTAAGAATCAATGAATGTCTGTGTTTAAATATTGTAAGAAAAAGAAAAAATTAGCAAGTGTTATATGTACAAAACAACTTCTGGAAAAGATAAGTCAAATGTTGTCTAAATCCATACTGATGTTAAATATTGCACTAGCATAAAAATTATGAGACAGACTGTTTAACAGAAAGTTTTTAAACAATTCTTGTAAGAATTCCTGACAAGGCTATTTACACTTCAAATCTGAGACTGCAACAATTTCTTAAGTCTAAAACGTCATGGTAAGGGTAGTGCCTACTATATTGCTTGCTTTCAAAAGTTATGAACTAGCTTTTCTGGAGTTCATTGTCAGAAATTTAACTTTTTCTTTTTGCCCTTTGGATTTAGCGAATAATTACACTTATGATAGGCATCAGATTTCATAATCATATTTTGGCACCAAAGGGAATTTAGCAATTTTGCATCTAGAGCAGGTCTGACACCATCCGAGTCTTTCACTGGAAGCAGTTGCTCATATTCACCACAAACGCAAAGCATCTTTCAAGTTTAAAAATGCAAAGAATAGTTATCAAAGAAAATGAATAAAATCCATAGTGAGATAATTTTTTAGAAAATGATTGAAGTTTTAACCCAAGAAAGGACTCTTAGAGTGTCTTATAGCTTAGAATAAGAACATGTCAATCACGATTAAGCTTCTGGAATCGGAATCCCTTTGAAATGCAGCTGTTTCTTCTTTAATTGTGGCAGCAGACTCGGAAGAAAAGAAAGGTCCAGCCTTAAAGATGAGTAAGGAATACAAAATAGCTCAGGATTAGTTGTGGAGTTCAAAGGTCGCTAATTACACTAAGGAGTTCCCAGACACAGGGAAAACATTAAACAGGTCACCTACCAAACGGGAAACAGACTTTGTCTTCAGAAATTATCCTGAAGTGACAGGTTTCTAGACAAAATCAAAAGCATCATAGTGTGCCCAGCTGACCTCACTGGGATAAACACAGAAGTTGGTTTAGGTCGGTAGCGCGATGGTAGAATGGAGGGGCTGCAGATGGCCCTAGGTTCCCCACCACCCTTACGCTGTCCAGTCCTCCCCGACTTTCCTCTGACTTCTAGAAATGCCAAATCAAAGTTTGCTGGTTTTTCTAATTTGCGTATGTAGAAAGTTTTGCTTCAGGGATTATACTGAGCCTCTCCTTACTCTGGATAAATACCTCTCGCCTACCTTAGTGCGCTCTGCTAAGCATTTGTACGCTCAGGATCACCAAATGGTCCTATTAATGTTAACACAAGAAAACGTTAAGCTTTCTTTGAGTTGAAGAGAGATAAATAACTTAAGGAGGGTATTCTCCCCACACCCCATAAAGTTTTTCCTACTGATTATGATTAAGCCAGAAGAACATCTTAAGAGTCCTGGTCAAGCAGCTATTCTCTTTATTGTTTGGGATAATTCTGAACATAAAACCTTATGCTTTGATAATGCTTTACAGAAAATCAGAGGTTATAATGAGTAAGACTGACTTTAATTAAAAAATCTTATTTCAAATCCTAAGTTATATGCACTATCGCTTCAAACTATTACGGTTCCTTTTTGAGGAGTTAGCAGCTTCTTCTAAGCTTTCCTGAGCAGCCTCGTTAAAATACAGAACCTAAGACATAACTGCATTTAGAATATTAATCTGCATTACGTATTTTTATAGTGGTTCTAATTTCATTGTATATAAAGAACTCTGACATGAATTAAGGTCTGAGGATCTTGAGACTTCACTTTGGTCACTTAAAACTCCATCTGACAATGAACTACTCTGAAAAATAGAATGTAATGTTTAACTGTAGAAACAAGTGGAGAATAAAGGGCATGACTGGGGAATTTCTGAAGGAAATGAAAGTGGTAAGAAGAGCAACGAATTTAAAGAATATGGCAACTGAGAGTAAAACAAGAGTAAGCCTCTATAAGGGCTTTTTGAGTTTTTAATATGAATCCATTCACTAATAAGTTTTAAGTTAGGAAAGCATGGAAAAAGCAGTATTATTCTTAAATTTATCTGTAAAACCTTGGCAGCAGATACGAACTGATCACAAAACACTCACCTTCTCAGCGTATTCTGTCCATCTTAGCATCCCAAGTGACAAGTTACTGTGGCAGATTAACAAGCTTACTAACAAGAGGCTGTAGAACAGAGACAAATACTACCTTACATAGAATTCTGTGGATTCTTTATTAGTCAACAGGCTGGAGGTGTTAAACAGCAAGTTACTATTACAGTAATTTTCCTTTGTTTCCATTAACTGTTTTTCCCCTCAAGAAACTTTATAGCTGTTTCTTACTTGGTTTCTGGTATTCTGTAACAAAGCACTGCACCAGGAGTTTAGGACTCAGTTTTGGAAGAGCAGATACACTCTGCACATCGGCTACCATCCATTGGAATGGCTGTCTGAAGTCCTGTACTGAGAATAAGCCCGGGTTCCCACTCAGAAAGGCTGTGAATGACTGGTGATGCCTGCTGCAGGTGCAGGCAGGAGTACTGTGGTGTGCTGACCAAAGACTAGTCTAAAAGATGCGAGAAGGAATCACACTTTCTGCATTCTGAACCACACTAACATGAAGTCCGAGACGGGCTTGCTCAGTCACTAAGCCTCTCAGGCTGGGCTTGAACTTGCAGTGTTCCCACCTCACTCTCTCAGAGTGCTGGGACCACAAGCACTCATCACCACACCAGGCCAATAAAGTCTACTTAAACATGACAAAGATCACAGTAGCAATGATCCATACGTTATTGGAGCAGGGGCTTTCGAATTCCAGATGTAATAATCAGATGAAATTAGTTTCCGATCTAAAAGAGGAAAAAGGAAAAGAATTAATGAAAAACCTATTTTATCTTACCAAAAATTCAATGAGAGCAAAGTCATAATTTTTAAAAATTTACCTTGAAGTACTCATTTTATTCGAGGCTTTAACTTTTATTACTTTAAGAAAATGAGCTCATTAAATATTTGAATAACCCATCTTTAAACTTAGAGCGTGGCTGGAGAGATGGCTCAGTGGTCTAAAGCATCTACTTGGAACAAGCTTGGCAAAGCACAGGGACTGTGGTTCAATCCCCCAGCACCACATGCCAGCCAGCCCCGCCCCCTGGTGGGCTGAGCTGGCCACACACACACACACACACACACACAAATGTTAAAATAAAAAAAAATTAAAAAAAAAATAAATAAACTTAGAGCAAACACTTTCTACTTCAGACAAATCTATTTTTTTCTCATATCTCCCTCAATTCTATTTCTTATGGGCTAATACTTTAATCACAAAAATATTTAGAAGTTCCTTGATGGCTTCTCTTCTGTAACCTTTCAGAAGTTACCTGATTCTGGTCTTGCTGTTACTCATTCAAAGGGGGGTAAAAAACAAAGGACATTACTGATGTATTATTAAAACTCCCTATTCTGTATTATATTTTCTGAAAGTTACAATATGTTTACTTAATACAAAATGCATATTTTAGTTACTACTTAAAGAGACAACATATTCCCCACCTATAATGTGTCTGCATTTCGACAGAACTGCCTACTCAATATCATGCTTTCATTATAAAAAATAAAACAAATGCACCATAATACTTTTATGAATTCACTTAAGGACACAAAAGGAAAATCTGATATAAGAGAAAACCTAGGGGAGTAAACAATACTGGCTTATTCTGGTGACATTACATGGAATTTATTACTGCTACTCACAAGAAACTGCTTAGAGTATGCGGTTATTTCTCACTTAATGACCAAGTTATTATGGTCCTGCAACTAGGTTAAATTAGGAACTAATTACAATAGCTCCACAAAGAAATGGTCAAAACATTCCCACTTAATGACCTTGCTTGTATTTGGGTAACTCTTGTATTGTAATATGGAACAGCACATAAAACTACAGTACTGTGCAGTCAGCAAAAATCACCACACTCTGCTCTACTGGACTCTAGAAGCAGCCGCCACAGGCTGCCCTGCTTTTCACACTCCTGCATCCTAAGCCCAAATGTAGGCTGTAAGTCTGAGTGGTGGGCAGTAAGTCCAAATGGTCATGATTAAACAGGTAGGTTGTTACACAAGGAATGTCCAAAACAACACTGTTTACACTTTATAGAGGAAACTAAAACTTTAGCAAAAGTTTAGCAACTTGCCCAAAACTATATAGCCAATAAAATGGAGCCAGACTCAGTCACTGTCTGCTCAGTATCAAATGGTGAACCACCTCTGAATAAAAGTTTATTCCAACCAGAGCAAAGCAGCTCAGACTTTATACTACAGCACAACTCTATCAATCTTTGCTCATTTACACCCTTCCCTGAACAGAAGAAGGCAGAAGGAAGGGTAAGGTTCACAAAGCATGAGGGAGTACCTTAGTTGTTTTTCTCATTGCTGAGACAAAATACCCAGCACCCAAAGTTCAAGGAGGAAAGGTTTATTTAGCTCAGTTTGTAGAGGTTTTAGTTTATAATCAGCTGACCCTAAGGCCAGGTGGCACAGGGCAGAGGAGAAAGTTTATGAAAGGCACAAAGTAGTAAAGCAAAAAAGGATGGGAGAGCACAGTACTTTCTACCCTTTATATCTCATTTAGGCCGGGTGGGCAGCCCACACCCCTAACCCTCGTGCCCTTGATCCCCGCACTGCACTGTGAGTCAGTTCTAGATCACACACACAGGACCCAGCCACCTCTGAAAGAGCCCCACTTACGGCTGCTTAAGGCCTGGGGGGACATCTAGACACAAGTGTAACAGTGGAAGTGGACCATAAATTGGTATTATACCCTAATCTTTACATTCTATTAACTTTTGTTTTCCCTTAGGTAATAATAACATATTACACTTTTAATTCCGTTAAGTTAGTTTGAATCTATACAACTTACGTGTGCTTATTTTTGGCTTTCCTGATGCAAAAACTTGAACTGAATGCTGATCTGCATAACATCCAGTGAGTGTGTAATCTAAGATCCTGAAATGAAGCTAGGAAAAGGAGCAAAATGTAACCGTCAAGGCGATTACCTGGTGGACACAATTCATACGTTCATAGTAACAGTCATAAATACTAAACTCCAACACGTGTGCACACATGTACAAATGTATACAAATACGTACATACCAAATATATATTCTATTCATAGGCTGTGATTGTGATAATATTTCACACAGTTCTTATCACAATTCTAAGATATATATACCTTTTTGGCAAAACAGAAGAATGCAACTATAAAAGAGAAACAGTTTATATCATGTTTGGGAAGGAATGACCTGCTTTATTTAGTTTTTCAGAAAACTAAAATTTAATTTTTACAGAACTTAGCTTAGAATTTACTTGTTTCTTCATGTAGAAAACTTTTCCAAAATGTCATTCATGGTTCTCGGATTTCATGACAATGTGGGGTTCTGAACAATAAATGCCAGTCACTATACTGTGCTGTTGGAGTGGGCATTAACACCTGCTCTGAGGCATGGTGCTAGGAGGCCCCGAATCGCAGTGATACTCACAAAAACTACAAAGAAGTCCACGTTTTACCAATTGCTGCTCACCTTTTGATGTGGTCCTTGTCATCTCTGTTTGTAAATACTCCTTCTGCTGAAATATCCTCACACTGGGCCCTAGGACCTTGCACATGCAAGGCCAGCTCTCTACCCTGAGCTGTATCCCTAGCCCTGTACTTTTTGTTATTCTATTCCCTACAAATTTCTTCCACGTCATAACTTTGTCCTTTAATTGCCAAATTAAATGATCTTCATGTACAAGATGTTGTTTTTAGATCTCCATATGTTTTTCCTGTTGTAGTTTGGTATAATTCTGAATGCCAGAAGACATGTATGGCAAGGTTCACATCCACATATCTCATTCTATGTAAAACTCATTCAGTTCAGTCAATGAACACAAATATGTATTGCATGCCTTTTATGAAACTCTAAGTGGTTAAACAACAGAAATGAACAGAGAAATCATAATATCTACCCTTGAAGGACATACAGTATAGTAACATCCCACTTCCTGAAAAATTAGTAATTCTTATCTTTGAAACCAAGCTAAAAGACATTTGAAGCCAACATGAAAAAAACAGAATTAAGAATAGTGTACAGTTTGGTTAAATTCTGTATCATTTCTATTTTTTTTTTTTTTTTACTATTATTTTGTATTCTCTTAGATGAAAAAAAAATTTAAATGGCCTTAACTGAAAAATTTACATCTCTTCTTTGATTTCTTCGATAGCACCTGATTACCTCCTGGATCACTCCTTCAATTTCCCTCATTGGTTCTTCCAAATCTTTCTCCTATTTTTTCATATTTATTTCTGATATTATTAGTTTCCACCATGTCATCTATTTCTTTTCTGTAGATAACTCCTAAATCCTTATATACAGGTGTCCTCTCTTGAGATCTAAACTTTAGGTTTTAGCTACTCAATTAGCACTCACGTTAAGATATGTCGCTATTAACACACACCACTATGTACCATGTACATGGCGCTCACTCCTTGCCACCTGCATAACGTACCAGTGCTTCTGCTGAAGTATGTCCATAATTCAGCCAATACTTGTGTGCTAAGTACTGGGGAAAACTTGGGGGATAAGATAATGAATGAATGGAACTTACATAATTTCTCTCTTCTTTGAAGTTTGAATTGGATTTAAGTTACATATTTTTGAACACCATCTTTGACTTGTAACTTTTCTAGTTTCTGCATTAGAGGTCAAAAGGTTCACCCTCACAACAGCTCTTAGAGAACTCCTTTTCTTTTTTTCCCTTTCTCTTTCTGCTGTTACTATACTAGTTCAGCATCAACTTACTACTTTTCTGCTGGAGCTATAAAATGTTTTTGTTGTCTCTAATTTTTTTCCAATTACCTTCCTGGAATGCAGTGAAAATTGATATTCACTGAAAGATCATTCTCCTAATTAAAAAAGTACATCTACCAAAAGAATAAAGAGGTCAAGCCCTCCACATTCCAAATCTAAATTATTTATTCAGTTTTATATACTAGTGCCATGTCTAGCATGGGCTCTTAAATGGGTCTTATTTAGCCTTCTCCTGAAAGTAATTTATTTTACTCCACTGTCAGCCAATCTTTAAGGCTTCAGGTTCAGTCTTACCTAGGCCTAGCATTTGGGTTAGCTCTTTTCCTTGACCACTTTGCCCGGAAAAGCCCACTCCTTCCTTGAAATGCCAAAACACAGTTAACATTGATCAATTAATCACATGCCTGATGAAAATCCCTAGAGAGCAGGGATGTATCTTATGCTTTTTGTATACACATCTTGAACCTGTAACCAAGAGCTGGCAGGTGAAGCCTGCGTGTTAGGGGTTACCCCATGACAGGCCGACACCAAGCAGCAGCAGCCACCGAGTCCTGCCCCAGCAGCAGCCACCTAGCAACTCCAAGGCAGCTCCAGGAGTGGCTTCCCCCTGGCATGAGCAGCAGAAGTGAAAGCGAGAATCAAACAAATGACTGCATGTGGAGGAGGCCCACGTGCATGGTGAGGAGTTCTTGGTTTTTTTCTCCCTCACTTCTTTTTCTTTTCTCTTTTCCCCTTTTAACTTTTTCTGCCTTTCTAATCTTTATTTCCTGTTTTTCTTTTTTTCTTCTTGTTCACTCTTTTCTATAATTGTTTTCTAGTATTATTAAATTCCTTTTATTCCTCCGAAAGATTACCTATCTCATTTCTCTCTTCTTCTCATCTTCCATTCATAAATTTCTCAAATTTTACTTTTCTCATTCTCTGGTATCCCAGACCTTGTACATTTTCTGGTACAACTATAAAGTTTCAGGAATCTTCAGACAAGGATCTGCATCTTTAGATCATTAACTCCATGCTACCTTTGTTGGATTCTGTTCTACTACTGGTAGTGGAGATAAAGTAGTACCATGTAGTAGACACTGCTGTGGGTCAATATTTAGTTTGTCTTAGTGTTTTTACTACAATTGTAGCTCTTGGTGGTAATTTTATTACTATAGCCAAGGCAATATAGTTGCCAATAATTAGTTCCCTCTGGATGCCAATACATAGATTCCCTTTGTGTCATTAATAATATTGTATGGGGCTGAGGAGATGGCTCAGTAGAAGAAGCGCTTCCCCGGCAAGAGCAAGGACCTGAGTCCAATTCCTGGTTTTGGGGGAAAAAAAAAAAAAAAAAAAAAAAAATGCTTGTTCTCAGCAAAATGGGTACTAGACCAAATATGCTGCAACCACCCTTCCAACATAAATGGAGTCAGCTGGATTCTGGGACAGAGGCAGAGGTTAATGGCCATGCCCAAGAAGCCTGACAGAAAAGCCGAACTAAAGAGGTTGCCATTCTGGTAGCATCAAAGGGGAGGTAATTTAAAACAAGACAGCCAGCAAGAATTATTTAGAAGTAGAACAGAAGTGGTAACAAAACAGATAAGCAGGTCAACTGAAGATACAAATAAAAAGCTAGCTGAGCTAAACAAAACAATGTAGAACATGAATGACCAGCACAGAAAAGCAGCAGAATATGGAAAAAGGCACCAACAGAGACTCGGGTGATTAAAAATTTTATCAAAGTTAATGGCAGCAGAAGTGAAGAAACAGTGTCAGAAACAGAAGACAGGCCACATGGCTGCACTGACAAAGGTTCTACAATCTGAGGTACAGGATCTCAGGATAAATCCTGAGGGCATTTCACAGACCTTCTCAAACCAAAAAGCTACAACTCTTGTTGCATAGGTTCTGCTTTACCTTGGTCTTGACCATCCAGTAGAAAAGTATGAAGATGAAATATAGGAAGTAAAGCCATGTTGTTATGTTGAGCTGTGGGGGACTCACGTCAATAATTTCTGACATTGCCAATTAAACAGAAGACCCAATGCTATTATGGGCTTCTGTACTCTTTTAGAATATTTTGTTGAGTTTACACACCTATAATATTCAACAACGGAACTTAAAAAAAAATTGGGGTATAACTATGAATGTCCATTTTGTATCTGTGTATTCAAAGTGGTTGGGATAGATATATAGTTGCATTCTCTTAATGAATAGAATGATTTTTTCTAATGGTGTTTGTAAGTAGGATCACAAGTCCGCATCTTGTACAGCAATTAACCACTAAGAAGAATATATGCAGTGTATTATTTGTTGAAACTGTACTTTCGATTTGATTTGAAACTGTCTCATTGCTATATGTTTATCAATAAAACTTTGAAAAGAAAAAAAAAAGAAAGTGCACTCCAAAACAAAACAAACAAACAAAAAAAAGAAACAGAAGACAAGACTTACCACTAGCATTATATTACATGGTGAAAAACCAGAAGTTTTCCTTCTAAAATCATGAAAAGAAGGCAGTATCTACTGTCACCACACTTGTTCAACATAGTACTCAACCCATTAGCAAGATCAATCAGGCAAGAAAAAGATACAACAGCCACATGTATAGGAAAGGAAGAAGTCAAATTATTATTACTTGCCAATGACACTTCACAAAAAAATTCCACCAGAACACACTGAGCATTAATACCCCAATTCAGCAATGTACCAGGATACAAAATTAACATAGAAACATTAAGTGTTAGGGGCTGTGGGGATGGCTCAGTGGAATAAGTGCTTCAATTCCTGTGGAAAGAGAGGAGACCCAGAATAGCAAAAGCAATCATGGGTAACAATATCAAGGCAGGAGTAATAGCACAAAGTATACTATACCACAAAATATACTATAAAGTAATACCACAAAGTATACTATAAAGCTACAATGGTAAAAACAGCATGGTATTGGCACAAAACAGACATGTTTTATAACAGGATAGAGGATGCAGAAACAACCCAAAGGATATCCAGCTATTTGATCTCTGACAGATGATCAAAAACATACACTGGAGGAAAGATAGCCTCTTTAATAAGTGTTGCTGGGAAAACTGGATTTCATAGGAGAAGACTGAATCTAGACTCCAATCTCTTATCATATATTAAAATAAAAAATTAATCAAAAAATCTAAATGTGCAAACAGAAAAACTTAATTACTGGAAGACAAATTAAATAGAACTTTTGAAGTCATAGTTATAGGCAAAAACACTCTGAGGGCTGGGGAGGTAGCTCAAGGGCATAAGCGCCTGCCTGGCAAGCGCAAGGTCCTGAGTTCAATCCCCAGTACCCCCCCAAAAAAACCCCAAACAAATAAAAAACACTCTGAAACCCAGTTACATAAGAAATATTACCAAGAACCAAAAATTGGCATGTTAAATAAAAAGCCTTCTGCACAGCAAGAGCATGAAGACATAATCTACAAAATAGAAAAATAAGTCATTGCCAGCTATTTCCTAGACAAATGACTAAGATCTAGAATATATAAATAATTTAGAAAATTAGACCACCCCCAATAAAAGACCCAATCAAAAAATGAGCATCTGAAATGAATAGACACTTCTCTGATGAAGTACAGATAAATGGTCATAAATACATGAAAAGCTGTTCATCACCTGTTCAGCTATCAGAGAAATGGAAATTAAAAACGCATTAAGACTCTACTTTACTCTGGAAAGATTGGCTATAATCAATGAACCAAATAATAACAAATGCTGGAAAAGCTACAGGGAAATGGAACCCTTCGACACTGTTGGAGGGAACGTAAACTAGTACAACTGCTATGGAGTTCAGCATGATAATGCCGCAAGGCTAAAATTAGCAATTGGGAGGCTGGGGCACAAGAAGACTGCTGAGACTCTGGGGCCAGTCTGGGCTATATAACGAGTTCAAAGCCAGCCTGAACTACGTAGCAAGACCCTGTCTCAAGCAAACAAACAAACAAACAAACAAGCAAGCAAACCAACCAACCCACTAAGACTACACATTCCATTTGATCAGCTATTCCACTTTTTTGTATCTCTGCAAAAGAGTTCAAGTCATCCTACTATACAGATGCATGTACATCCATGTTTATAGCAGTACAATTAAAAAAATAGCTAAAACTTGGAAACAGCCTGCATGTTCATCAATAGATGAGTGGAAAAAGAAAGTGTGGTATCTGTATAGAGTACCACACTGCCATAGACAGATGAACTTGAGTTGCTT